ACACACACACACACACGCACCCACAGTGTAGACGGGTGGAGCAGAGCAGGCCTTGGTCGCAAAGCCATCGTCGATGTCTGCCTGCGACATGCCAAGGACATCCGTAGGCCTACAAGTTTGGTTTAGGGGCTTATTTAGGGATTTTGGGTTGGGGTCTAGATTCTAGATTTGAAGACTTGACTTCTAGGTTTAGGCTTGAGGGTTTGGGGCAAACTCGTCAAAGACTGCCAAACCTTCACAAGGCTGTACTTGTGAATCAAGGAACAAGTCCAAGCAATCTTAACCAATGGGGATCCCAAGCAAGTAAGGGAGCCTAGCTTCAGGGAGATCGAAATCTCCTTTAGGCGTGCATGCTGACAAGCCACGCCGTTTCCCGAGCGGGCTGCTTTTGTCAGAGATCTGATGGCGAGTCATCATAAACACCTCCATCCTCACCAATGACTAAGCCTACCATGGGAGTCTCCTTCAAGCTCCACCTATAGAGCTGATCTAAAGAAGCCGAAGGTAACCCTTAACCAGTTTGTAGGGCTCATGATGCACGGACTTCCGGTTTGCTGAAATCCTCGAAAGCAGGGCTGGCGCAGACTCGCTTCCTGTGATAGTCTGAATCCCTAAATCCAGAACCGTAACCCTGTATGAACCCTGAACCCTAAGCCCTAAACCGAAACTGTTTTAAACCACCAAGACCCCCAAAAAGGCCAGGCCTCTACGTCTGTCGCCTTTGCTTCCATGAGCGCCTTAGCCTTGGCGACCACAGCGGCCACCTCGAGCGTTCTGTTTGAATGAATTATGTGAGGCCTTGGGGTATGCGTTTTCCTTTGAAGGGATCCGCAAAAGGGGGTCTTTAAGGGATCTATAATCGGATTCCATAATGTAGGGGCCTTAATAGTACAATAGGGTTTTGGGTATACCGGTACACAAGAATATGGCGATTATAAGGAGCCGCCAGAACAGTACTAGTAGTTGTTTAGCCCCTATAGGAGAGCTTAGGGTTCGCGTTTAGGACCTATGATCTCAGGGATTAGGGTTTAGGCTCTCAGGCTTTAGGGTTTCATTCAAAAAAGAGGCTCCGTCGCTTATGGAGTCCGAGACTGCCGGCATCGCGCCCAAAACGCGCACCACCGAAATGTTGAAATCTTTCCGAACCAGTGGAATCAATGGAATCTGAACCCAACCTCACCGACATCAGTGCCACACAAAACAGCAAACCCTGAAAAACCCTAAACCAAAAACTGCTGTAAATTCGCGCGCACTCGGGTGCGCCCCGCGCGCAACCCTTGCATTTACGCAGGGCCACGAGAGGGGCGAGCACTACGACCAAGACCACCACAACCACCAGGAGACCACGAAGCCACCACCAGGAGACGCCTAAACGACCATCCAAAGACCATCAGAGACCACCACGAGATCCCAGGAGAGCACCCGCAGCAGACCACCAGGAACTTGGGAGGAGAAGGATGCCACCAAGGATTGAAGATCACGGCCAGCATGTTTCCACATGTACCGGCAGCATCCCCGCCCATGTACTCTCGACGTGTCCCGGCTGGCGCCTCTCTGGAACATCCAACCAATTCCCGGTACCCCATTGTTTGGCATACAAAAACCTTCTCCGCCCAACAGCCGAGATCAGCCTTTCCTAACCATTTATAGCCTTGTAGCATCAAAATAGCCCAAAAGCCTTATACAACAGGGTCTTTGGGCCGGCACAAAAGCCCTAACATATGAGTCCTTGGAGGGTAAGGGTGGGGGCCCTCAAAACCCCTTCCGACTTGGCAGCGAGCATCGGCTTCGCCAACTCCAGTGCCGCGCTCTGCCTGGGCTTCTGTGAGGGTTCTACAGCTGCTGCAAAGCTTCCACAGGCTTTGAAGGGGTTTAATGTGAGTGTTACATGTTTCTTAGTTTATAAGGTTCTATGGGGCTGAATGGTTGCAGTAAGGTCTCTAAGGCTGTATAGGGATTGGGGGTTTAGATGGGCTCATAGGTTTAGTTTAGATGCAGCTAGGGTTTGCTGCTGATCGGGAGTATTGCGCTTAGCTCTTGTCATCTTCTTCTGTCGTTGCTATCATGGTGGTCCGGCGCTGTTTTGATTATGAACATGTCATGATTCGACACAACTCTCGCTCTCATTATCGGGTCAGCCTGTGTACCGTGTTCGCGGAAGGCTGAGAGAGTGTGGCGTCCTCATGCATACTTTGTTCCCGGATTTACCTTACCCTTCCAAGCATTTTTTTCTGTGCAAGGCCTAAGGTGTGCAGACTCTGAGCTGACGATTCACGCTGCCGGGGGGCTTCTGCGACAAACGTGTCTTTTCCCGAACGGAGCCAACCCCTCCTAGGTGACGTAAGGGTATCATAGGGTCTGAATAAGATGGCCGAATACATATACGTGCTTGTACTACCTATAGGAAAAATGCCTTGCCCTGTTGTTGGTGCCCTGCCGGGAGTGAGCCTGAATACCATACGTGCACGACAAACCTTCCTCGAGGCCTCCTCCCCTTGCTTTTTGAAACACAATCCTAGGGCCTCAGGCTCAAGGTTTAGTCTAGTATGTCGAGAACTGTATGTGGTGTGGTTTAAGGTGCCCTAAACCCCAACCCTGGCGCTCCTTTTTTGAATCTTCAGAGCTCCACTGCTCCACTTTCACGCAGGACCCTCCTCTCAACCGCTTTTGTGGGATGGGTCTTCGTGACTTTTCGACACCAAGAGGCTGTAATTACCGCTGACGTGCATTTAGGTGCGTGTCGCTCTATGAGTTGTAGCATGCGTGCCAGCTGTCAAAACTGCGATGTCAGCAGAGTGCAGGGGTCAGGCTGAAGATTGACTTGCGAGTGCGGTTCAGGTAGTGGAAGTGGTTCTAGAACCCATCGTTTCATCCTACTCCTACCGGTTCCTATCGATTTCCAGCTAAGGAAGAGGTGTGCCTCCATCCGTCTCACTGCCGCCAGCCTCGCAACCAGAAAAGGCTTCGAGTTCTGCAAGCTGTAAAGCTCGGTTCCGGAATCCGTGAAGCTTTCTCATCGAATCCGTGAAGACCGCTCGACGCGTGCGTCTGCACATTGAGTAATTTTTTTCGTCGCCACCAGCTGGCAACATTGCAACCTCGCTTGACAGCACAGACCAGTGCCCGTTGGCCTGCGTCTAAATCATCGCTGAGTTCTGATGCAGGTTCCACGCGGCCTGGCAGAAAAGATCTGCAAGAAGGTTCAGGTGTCCAGACAGGTTCGTCTGGGTACTGCATGCAGATGTGCCTCTGTGAGTTCGATTCCACTACTAACCAATTACTGGGTGCTGGGGATGCGACTTTCAGTATTGATTACATACATGACCCGAGTGAACTGAAATTCATGAATAAGAACCCTGCTTAGGCATGTAACGAAAGCTCGGGGGTGTTCTGCCTGCCTTTCTGCTTACTCAGTAGGAAGCAGGAATGGCAATCGCGAACAAGAGAGTATACAATTTGCAGGCGCATCAAGCAAAACGCAACACTGGGGGAAATGAAGCCTCTGTGCTCATGTAAGTCAAAGTTGCAGAAAGTCGCAGGTGCCCAAGCTGCACCTCTACCTTTCAGTCCTTCAGTTTGAATATTGACCACACAGCAAGCCGAAGACCTGACGTCTCAAAAGGCAGATTTCCTCACTCAACTTGCAACCGTTGCTGTGAGGCTCTGAGCCTGGACTTTCGGGGCGTACACGAACTCGAACCTCCCCGGCAAGTGGGAGTTGATCGCTGTCATCTCCTGCACGCCTGTCAGGATCTTTCAGGACCCTATAGCCTTGGACAGCCTGGATCTGGACGGAATCCTGCCATGCAGCTAAATGCACGGAAAAGGCCGCCTGCGGCGTGCACCACACCAATGAGCGACCCCTTCCAGATCGGCTCCTGTGATGTGGGGCGTCACCAACGGAGAGAGCAAGACAAACAAATAGGTAGTTCTGCGCCAGGCATGTCGAGGCTGGCGTAGGAAGAGACAGAGTGGCTTCAACATCTAGGAAGTAAGGGCTCAGTGTGGCTTTTCAGGAATTGCCTGTTGAAAGCACTCTCAAGTCTGCACCCGAGGTTCATCGAATAACCAAAACACCTGGAAATTTAGCAGAAACGAGTGTTGCTAACTTCCGATGCCCCGAGACTCTTGTGTCCCTTACAGATTTACGTAGCTCTGCATATGCCGACTCCTGCTTCCTGCAAGGTTTAGGGTTTTAGGTGGGCTCAGGGTTTAGGGTTTCGGGTTCCGGGCCGATTTAGGAGTTGGGGGTTCCGAATTTAGGGTTTTGGGCTTTGAGGTTCAGGGCTTTGCATGGTCGTGTTCAGGGGTTTAAGGTTCAGGATTTTTCGGGTCATCTCCGTGGCCCGGCCTTCTTCTCACAGAGCAAGTTCAAAGCCTTGCAAGCTATCAGCTCTGGGACTCGAATCTTGGTCTAATCTAAGGTCGAAACCATGGGCCCCTAGTATGGGCCCTTCACCCTGG